CCTTAAGGGGAGTACGGCACTTACGGCCGTAGAGCATCTCATAAGGAGATACTCCTAGGGACTCATTGGGAAGACTTCGGTAAATACACATAATCAAATCAATTTGCTTATCCCAATCCTTAGAGGTTTCACTACAAAACTTTTTCAAGAGTGCTTTGATAGTCTGATGACTACGCTCAAGAGAACCCTGTGAAGCAGGATGATAGGGGCTGGACAATACCTGTTTGATGTTGAACTCCTCCAGTGTCCTTTTGAAGAGATCACTGGTGAAGTTGGTACCACAGTCGCTCTGAATCTCCCTGGGAAATCCGTATTGAGTGAAGATCTTCAATAGATGCTTTACAACCGTAGCAGCCGTGATGTTCTTCACTGGAACTGCTATGGGAAATCTGGTGGTAGGACACAGGATGGTTAAGATATAGGCGTTACCTGAACTGGTCCGAGGTAAAGGACCAACACAGTCTATTATAAGTCTGTGGAAAGGTTCCGCAGGCACCTGTATGGGAATCAGTGGCGCTCTGGGAATGGAGATGTTCGGTTTGCCTGCCATCTGACATGTATGACACTGTTTTACGTACTGTTTGACGCTATTTACCATACCTGGCCAGTAGTAGTCTTGACGAATTCCATGGTAAGTCTTGTTGAATCCGTAGTGGGAGAGTGCTCCGTGGGCCAGGTGTAGAATAGTGGGCCGCAGGCTGGTAGGAATCACAAGTTGTTCGATGTTGGCCCAATCGTCCTCCTCCTTCAGTTTACTGGGTCTATATCTGCGGTAGAGCAAGTCGTTCTCTAGGAAGAACCCAGGAATACTGTCAGGTTGAGTCTCAGCCTGGAAAAACAATGGTGTTAAGGTAAGATCTTCCCTCTGCAACTTACGAAACTCCAACTTGGTCAGATTCGGGGGTAGTTTCTGAGGGTCTTGAGGGACAGCGGTAGCAGTAGAGTCAGCTGGCTGTGGACGTGCGGCTTGTGCACGGGTGGTCACTAGAACCGGAGGAGAAACTTCATCACTCTCTTGAACCTCTGCTGGAACATACTCAAGTATAGGGTTAATTGGCACAGAGGTACACACCTGGGGTTTGTCCATAACGATCAGGTTGGTCGGTTGCAGGTCTTCTGCCAAGTCGTTGCCTAGGAGAAGTTGCACTCCAGGCATGGGAAAAGGCTTTTCCCTGACGGCGACTTGGATTTCTCCGTTCACGAAGGGACAATCCAGGTGGACTCTGGCGAGAGGATAAGGAGTGGTAGCAGTGAGGTCAGTGATGAAGACAGTTTCTCCGGTGTAGGCGATGTTACGTTCGTGTTCTTCTTTCTTCAAGACAGCTTCACGTTCTTTGAGGGCGATTTCTTCCCTTCTTAAGGCAGCCTCACGTTCTTGTTCTTCCTTCCTCAAGGCAGCCTCACGTTCTTGTTCTTCCCTTCGTATGACAGCTCCTTCTCCTTGCTGCTCGAGGGCTTCCCTTTGCTGCTCACGTTCAATCTTGGCCAGCTCTAGTTTGAGTTTCATCGTTGCCAAATCAGTTTTATCTGCAATATAGTAAGTTTCATGAGTTTCAGAGTCTATCTTACCTTGCTCTAAGAAATGATCCAGTAACAGGTTGTGTATTTCACTCTTGTTGGCTTGGTAGGGAACTGTTAGTTGATACTCATGTGCAAGAGTTTGTAATTCAGCTCTCTTGGCATGACTTAAAGTCCCTATTGCACCTGCTGGATCTGCACGGAAAGCTTGGAGACGAAACATGGTGAAATTAGCAAATAAATGTACAACGAATATACCGTTATATAGTGAATGTCAGAAACAGGACAACGTGGCAACTGGTACCTATCCTGTGGAATCTTTAACAATTAAAGTTAAGTACAAGATGTTAAATGATTAATTTAAATCAAAGGCGCAGGAAATCTTGTACCCGGTACTCATGTAAGAGGATAAGGGCAAGAAAATCCTACTAAACAAATGAAACAGAGTTTCGAAAACAAATGAAACAGTTAATTGCCTCAAAAGTAAAATTGGTAGTCCAAGGATGTAGGCATACCTTGCAGAGTCTATAGGACATACGCAAGTTTTTCCTACTGAAATTAATATGATACTTACAGAATTAGCGAACTTTGTGCTCTGAAAAAGTAAGCTAATTCCCTACCGTTGTATGTATCATCATCTCTGACTGACGTGTAGGGGTGCGAGGTGTCAACTGGTGACGAGAACTGCTGCTGAGGTCCCAATTCAGCAACTAAAGTTCGAGCTAGAGGAACTATGGCCCTCTTTGTCCTCCTACAGTCAGATTGCAGAAGATTAGGTGCACTTGACCCGGGGCAGACCACAGTACCAGGGTACCAATATGATGATCTGTCAAAAATGAGAAATCTCCAAGGGACAAAAGATGGTAAACACGAGTAATAACATGGAGGGAGAGATGACCAATTAAGAGTATGACTGCGGCCTACAGTCACCACGTAATCCAAAGTTGTCTCACCTTCACCATATGCTACTCTCGTAATGCACAATACACTCCGCACCATATAAAAAATGAAATTGAATATGAAAAATAGTAAAAGCTACGTTACCAAAGTTAAATACGCTTACCATAAATTACTACTTGGCACCAGTACCTGAGTGAAGCTCCTGGACAGGCCCCCCACTTAATATGTGACGGTAACGCGTTGGTGTTCGGCTGTTTCAAAAGCTAGGGGTATGGCCTCGTCACATATAGAAACAAAAAAGAGAAAATCTGGAACTTCGTCTGTGGTAAGGTAATGGGAAGACACACAAAACACAAGTAAATTTAACAATGAGATTTTAATTATGTTAGAAAAGCAAAACATGAATAAAATGGACATACAAATTGGAACATAAAATCAATCAATCAAAATAATAAGAATAATCATATGGCAAAATGAAAAGTTACGTTAAGACAAGTGAGTAATAACAAGTGAACAATATACAATGCAAATATGGGTGCAGGAATATTGGCTTTAAGCTGCCACCTTTCTTAGTACGTGTAAGCCAGAGCTTAGTCTACCAACGAGACGTGTTAACTTGTTGAAAGCACTGGATATTCTGAGGTCTGCAGGTCGTGGCGGCCCCAGACATCAGGTAGTGTGGCGGTGGAGGAGCGGGTGCAACTGACCACCAGCCAATCAGCGATGAGCAGGCGACGGACAGGTAGTTTGGTGGTTCGAGTGGTGGAGGTGGAGCAGGTGTTCCTTGTGCTGAATACGTTTGCTCTCTGGCAAACCTTGGAGTTGTACTTGTTGGATATTTCTTCCATATTAGTTGTATAGGGATGTATAGCGACGAACTTAGGAGGGAAGAGCAGGCTCAGTCTCTTGAAGGAGATTATCGTCACAGTACCAACCCGCAGATCCTGATGTTGCAACTGCTGTGTTGTGGTCACTGTACATCTTTTGCATTGTTCTGTTTCTAATTACTTTCTTAATCTGTGATAGACTTTGTGGTATGTAAATGTCTACATTTCTTCTCTTAGTTGCAAGTTTTGCAGCTTCGTCTGCAATGTCATTTCCTATTATTCCCACATGACTTGGCACCCAGTTGATAAGTACCCGTCGGCCTTGTCGTTTGAGTGTTTGCATTAATGATATGACATTTGTGATAAGATGTATGTTATCACATATGTGTTCTTGTTGCAAGGTTTCAATGGCAGTTCTCGAATCTGTATGTATGATAACATGTTGTCGGTGTTGAGCAAGAGCATGTTCCAAAGCCTTTTGAATGGCTAGCATATCTGTTTGTAAAGTCGAACACCCATTTGAGAACCTCCAGCTATTTACAGAGTTTCCTGCTTTAACTGTAGCTCCGGTTTTTTGTCCCTGCTGGTCTACTGATCCATCTGTGAAGTAAGTGAAGCTGTCGGATGCCATGTTTGCTTCTATATGCATCTGTGCAATGTTACGTAGCAGATGAGGATTTGTCTGGTTCTTTTTTCCTGGAATAACCATAATCTTAAAGTCTGCTGGCAGGGATTCCCAAGGGGCTTGCATAACAAAGTCTGCATGTATTTCGTCGACACCCTTCTCAGTGACTGTGTTTGTTATATCGAATGTATTGATGGTGTTTATCACACAATGGGTCCACCTGTTGCTATTGGAGGCTCTTCTGTCCAGAGTTAGTGCTCCAGTGATTATATCTTTAAGTGAACTGATTCTAGGTCTAGTCAATATCTTGTTGGTTCCTTAATGTGTTGCGTAAGAAAGCAATCGTCAATTAATTCTAGAAAATCTTCTGTATCATTATTCCTTGTTTTGTTCAACCAGTTTATTCCACTAAAATTAAAGTCACCCATGTCATAAATACTGTTAGATCTAGATGCTCTAGATATTTCATCCCATAGAGGATTTGCTTCCATTCTGCCTAAATTTGGTGGCCTATATATAACTCCTATTATAATGTTTTTTGTTTTTTCGTTTAATTCTATCCAAATAGTTTCTGTATGTGGCTCAGTTTTGATTCCCTCTTTGAGACTACATTATGTTCTTATGTTCTCGATCTTAAAGTAACTCAAAATCTTTTAAGTTAGTTTCTCCTATTAGTTAGTAATTTAAGCTTTACCTAAGCTTGATGAACGTTCCAGTGTTAGTTAATTAAACTCTGAATTCAAATATTAAATTAATAATATTTGACATGAGATTCAGAACTGAGATGACGTCATTCCTCGGCATCTTCTGCACCTACGTGACAAGACTTTATTTCCCGAACATTCTAGAAGATTTATGATATATTATCCGATAAGTGACCTATTGAGGATTTCATACTTTTTGATTTACAAAACAATGGAATATATTCCACACGTGGGATCCTGGAGTGTGAGCCGAGAACGTAGACCACTGTACTAGTGTTACTTTAAGTATTGCCATCTCCAAGTATAGCTGTCACTCTGCCATACAAGGCACTCATCAAAGTTGCCTTCATCACTCGTCAGCTCATGCTATCTAAACGTAATGTATCAGTAATATTTGTTGATGAAGTGATATTTTATGTGTTCCAGCAAGACGACTCTGGCGGAGGTGAAGGCCCTGGAGGCTGCCGGCGGCATCACCCGCAAGCTGACCAACGCTGTCAAGAAGGACTCGGTGACCATCCCTGACGGAGGGTACACCGTCATCAGGTTCACCGCTGACAACCCTGGTGAGACAAGGCAACCCTGGTGGGACATGGCAACCCTGGTGAGACATGACAACCCTGGTGAGACATGCCAACACTGGTGAGACATGGCAACCCTGGTGAGACATGACAACCCTGCTGAGACATGGCAACCCTGGTGGGATATGGCAACCCTGGTGAGAAATGGCAACCCTGGTGGGATATGGCAACCCTGGTGGGACATGACATCCCTGGTGAGACATGGCAACCCTGGTGAGACATGGCAACACTGGTGGGACATGGCAACCCTGGTGGGATATGGCAACCCTGGTGGGACATGGCATCCCTGGTGGGACATGGCAACCCTGGTGGGACATGGCATCCCTGGTGAGACATGGCAACCCTGGTGAGACGTGGCAACACTGGTGGGACATGGCAACCCTGGTGGGACATGGCATCCCTGGTGAGACATGGCAACCCTGGTGAGACATAGCACCCCTGGTGAGACATGGCAACACTGGTGAGATATTGCAACCCTGGTGAGACATGACAACCCTGGTGAGACATGGCAACCCTGGTGGGATATGGCAACCCTGCTGAGACATGGGAACCCTGGTGGGATATGGCAACTGGTGAGACATGGCACCCCTGGTGGGACATGGCAACCCTGGTGAAACATGACAACTCTGGTGAGACATGGCTACCATGGTGGGATATGGCAACTCTGGTGGAACATGGCAACCCTGGTGGGACATGGCAACCCTGGTGAGACATGGCAATTATAGTAAGACATTGCAACCCTGATGAGACATGGCAACCCTGGTGAGACATGACAACTCTGGTGAGACATGGCTACCATTGTGGGATATGGCAACTCTGGTGGGACATGGCAACCCAGGTGGGACATGGCAACCCTGGTGAGACATGGCAATTATAGTGGGACATTGCAACCCTGGCGAGACATGGCAACCCTGGTGGGACATGGCAACCCTGGTGAGACATGGCACAACTTGTGAGACGTGGCAACACTGGTGTGGGACATTTGGGGCTTGACTCTATTTATTTAAATATTAAAGTAATGAAAATTCTATTACGAAGGACCACCCGCTTTTATAGTAAAGAGGGAAACTAAGAAAACATGATCATTAGAAAATTCCTAGATGAACCAGTAACTATGGATAAAATACTAGAGAATATGATCACTTATATAATTAATTGGCTGTATAATTAACTGAATCAAAGCCTCAAACACCTACATTGGGGGTTATTACTGGAACTCAATACGTCCAGGAACTAGTGTGGTTCGTTCACCAGTCCAATATGTAATAATCTAATCCTATGACCATTTATGGAATCATTATCTTTATCACCAATAAGAACATAGATTAAGAACATGAGAATTGATAATTATAATAAACACATGTCAATCCAAAGAAACAATGTTCTGCACGTAAAGGAATACAGATAATAGAATTCAAGGAATACGGAAAGAGTCTTAGCTTGAAGACGATTTCCAAGAAGTTAGTTACGACTCATCCTCTGATTCTCCTGGACTCGTCATGGAACACTGGGAGATGATTAACACGGGAAATGACAGTTCGGAGAATTCTTCACACACGCTGTAAATCAAATTATATTCAGTAGCAACAGATTAAGCTGCTAGACATCTATGTTCAAGAAATTTAGATTAAATAATGAAAGTAAATAATGACCTGTGGTTTTTTATTGTCGCTCTGCGTCACGACAAGCTACCCAGCTATAAACCCCCACCTAGATGATGCATCAAATAAGGATAAAGGTACTTAGCTAATATGGGCACTGTGTAAGTTAAGGCTTGCCGAAGTTCGCGTCCTAGGTTCAGGCTTCGTAATAACGAACACGTGGTGTCCAGCCTAGCCTAGATGCTGACGCGCTTCACTGGCCGGTCACGTTGAACTACACAGAACCATATTTAACAGGTTCTGGCCGAATGTCAAATTAAATATCTTGACAATTCAACTCGTTGTGTAAAGTGACACTGACACCAGCAAAGTAAATGTCTGCAAAGGTTCTTCACACCTCACAGTGGCGACTTTCATCTGGAGCTCTTGATGGCGTCTACCCTGGTGGCTGGGGTAATGGCCTCTCTCTCTGAGCGCGTCGCCTCGTGTACTCGCGTCTCCTCTGCCCCGCTCCGCGTCCCGCGTTTGATACACAAATTATTTACTACGGATATTATCATTTCTCGCAGTTGTGATTGAAATGCTCGGATAAGGACGGGTTTATTATTCAGAGGAGTTAAATATTATTATTTGCCCGTTTTACGATGGTAAACGAGCAATGGAGATGAATTAAAGTCTCTCCAGGGCATTCACGCGTGACGTTAAATTTATTACCAGATAACAGTTATAACTATAAACGCTCTATTTGGCATTAGTTGGGGATCAGTTTATCCGTAAATAATTATCACACAGAACACCGTTGTTTTATAGAGAATCAAATTCAATTCTCAGACACACTGGATATAGTTGTGTTTATTATAATGGAATCTGACGCAATACTGGCGTCTGGTGACGTAAGAATTCTAGCCTTATTGTACAGATGTAATTATTAGTACATGTGAACTCTACGTTTGGTTAATTTTAATCACTACAATGATTAGTAGATTTAGTAATAATTAATGATAATACAACAGTGTTGTATTTAGTGTTGGAAATTTCCAACAACTGGTGGGATATGGCAACCCTAGTGAGACATGACAACCCTGATGGGACATGGCAACATTGGTGAGAGAGACATGACAACCCTGGTGAGACATGGCACCCCTGGTTAGATATGGCAACCCTGGTGAGACATGGCAACCCTGATGAGACATGGCACCACTGGTGAGACATGGCAACCCTGGTGGGCCATATCAACACTGGTGAGACATTGCAACCCTGGTGGGAAATGGCAACCCTAGTGATATGGCAACCCTGGTGAGACATGGCAACACTGGTGAGACATAGCAACCCTGGTGGGATATGGCAACCCTGGTGAGTTATGGCAACCCTAGTGAGACAGGACAACCTTGGTAGGACATGGCAACACTGGTGAGACATGGTAACCCTGGTTACACATGGCAACCCTAGTGAGACATGACAACCCTGGTGAGACATGGCAACCCTCGTGAGCCATGGTAACCCGTGTGGGACATGGCAACCCTGGTGAGCCATGGCAACCTTGGTGAAACATGGCAACCTGGTGAAACATGGCAACCACTAAAAAATGACAACCCTGGTGAGACATGGCAACCCTGTTGGGACATGACAACCCTGGTGAGACATGGCAAACCTCTTGGGACATGACAACCCTTGTGAGACATGGCAACCCTGGTGAGACATGGCAACACTGGTGAGACATGGCAACCCTGGTTAAACATGACAACTCTGGTTAAACATGACAACCTTGGTTAAACATGACAACCCTGGTTAAACATGACAACCCTGGTTAAACATGACAACCCTGGTTAAACATGACAACTCTGGTTAAACATGACAACCTTCGTTAAACATGACAACTCTGGTTAAACATGATAACTCTGGTTAAACATGACAACCTTGGTTAAACATGACAACCTTGGTTAAACATGACAACCCTGGTTAAACATGATAACTCTGGTTAAACATGACAACCCTGGTTAAACATGACAACTCTGGTTAAACATGATAACTCTGGTTAAACATGACAACTCTGGTTAAACATGATAACTCTGGTTAAACATGACAACCCTGGTTAAACATGACAACCCTGGTTAAACATGACAACCCTGGTTAAACATGACAACCCCAGTTAAGCATGACAACCCTGGTTAAGCATGAAAACCCTGGTTAAACATGACAACCCTGGTTAAACATGGCAACCCTGGTTAAACATGATAAACCTGGTTAAACATGACAACCCTGGTTAAACATAACAACCCTGGTTAAACATGACAACCCCGGTTAAACATGACAACCCTGGTGAGAGTTGTGGGATTTATTACTTCTCGTTACAGTTTTGCTTGTTCTGCCTGCAGCGAGTAGTCATAGGTGATCTTCGTTACCCCGGCGGGCTTAAACCAAGGGATTAAACTGCAGGTTTCCGTCATACTCAAATTTCGTGACCTCGGTGACCCCGCACAGGCATCGCTAATGGTCAAATGACGTCATCAGCTAGCCAGTCTTCATCTTCCCTGAATAACTTAGTATACTGAAAAAGCATATTTAAACCCATTTTCAAAGTTCATTTTCTAAAAAAGATCGCATATTGAACATAAGAAATATAAATTGCGCAAGGTCTTTGTTGGATCTCCTATTTACACACAGAAATCACACTAACGTAATGCATCAATTGAACAAATCCACAAGGGCCGTTACGAGGATTCGAACCTGCGTCCGGGAGCATCTCAGACACTGCCTTAATCGACTGAGCTAATACAGGGTTAAAAAGAGTTGAAACCGGAATTCTACTGAACTTACTGGATCCCGCAGCCTCTCCGAGACACAAACCAGGGTTTTACACAACTCCCCCCTGCACTCGAGCTATGTCAATAGGCCGTTCTCCCTCTTCGCCTTTACATTATATGATGTAAGGGCGAAGAACAGGTTTGAACCTTCGAACCGGACGCAGGTTCGAATCCTCGTCACGGCCCTTGTGAATTTGTTCATCTCCTATTTATTTCCAATCTATGTCAACCAACACATCAACTAGCGCTATTAGATGAACTTCAGAAGGTCTATTCTCTATCTAATTATTACCCCCCCTTTCCTCTCTATTCATACATTCAATCACGCCACCCTCTCAAAAACCCCTAGCTATGGTTTAGGATAAGGAAAATTGGGTAATGGTACTTGTATAGTTTTAGTGATTCATAACGCTTTCTGACTAAGGTTAGGTTAAGGATGGTTAAGTTCCACTTATGTGGAGAAAATTCCCATTATTAACATATTTTCCATTAACCCCCCCAGGTAATAGAGGTTAGGTTGAGGATGGTTGTATTGATGTGAAAAATGATGCAATATTGAACCAGGATCCATGCATCAGAA